GAGGGCAAAAACGCCTCCCCCGCCATGGTGCAGGAGGCCGACTAGGCCACGCCCACCATGGCCACGCCCACCTAGCAATCGGGCAGAGAACCCCTTCCTAAAATTTTTGTAGCTCACCCCTGATTAGAACTCAAGGTTTCCTGGTTTTTAGCCTGATGCCATAGCCACTATACAAAACTGTTTCTTTGCATTAATACCAACATTTAAATCCTGTCCAAAAAGTAAGTGACAATTAGTTTGCAGTTTTCATGCAATCCCAATATTTTGCCCCAACTGCAGTATCAGGATACCTTTCAAGGTAGCCTCATGTAGAACACACTAAAGCTTTTGAAGAAATTATCAATTAGCTCATGCCATTTTATGTTTTTCCAAAATGCTTTGATCAAAAGATATTTTTGAGAATATGCTCGCATTTTTTTAGTGAGGTCACCATCCCCTCTATAAATTTATTTATTTATTTATTTATTGGTTCGATTTATATGCCGCCGTTCTCTGGAGACTCAGGGCGGCTTACAATGCATTAAGCAATAGCCTTCATACTTTTGTATATACCTGCTTAGTAGGGCTTTCGGGGGGCCCCCAAGCGGTGTTCTTTTTTATACAAAGTCAGCTTATTGCCCCCACAAACCTCATTTTACTTCATTTTACCTATCTCGAAAGGATGGAAGGCTGAGTCAACCTTGAGCCTGGTGAGATTTGAACTTGCAGTAATTGCAGCAGCTGGTGTTATTTAACAGTGCTTTAGTCTGCTGCGCCACCAAGCTCTTCTTTGCTATGAATCTGGCAAATAAAATGTGGCAAGTTCTCTAATAATTCGGACTCTCTCAAGTCAGTCCCAATTTATTATAATAGTACCCATTCTTGATTAATTTTGAAAATAACGTTAATACCTATGGATACTACTGCATAGGAGATCATCAGGGAAGCTCAGGACTGTAAACTAAAGTGAGAAGTTGACAAAGTATTATTAAAGAACACTGTAGCAAAGTATGCTTGTATCACTGCAAAATAATAATAATAATAAAAAGAAACCTTTACAGGAATATACCAATAATGTTACCTGGAGCTGATCTGATCTTGAAGACTTTTCTTTCTTTTACTTCCAACAGAATTTTAAAGAGCTTGCTAAATCTCCCCATAAAAATATGATTCTCTTTAAGGAATGCTGTTCCCAATAACTCTTGGATACATAGCATTAAGTATGCCTTTTCTTGGATCTCGGAGAAAGTGACTGAAACCTCTAGTGGATAGTGAGTATGAATGTTCTTCATTGGCTATGTCTTGTATTGGCAGAAATTTTTCTGGTGTCAAAGGCTGTTGTGGTATCTAAGCCATGAAATTTTACATCAAATATGCTGTAGTTATTCCATCAGTATTCCTATTTTCATTGGTTAGCACTGGTTAGAATAACCGTTGACAAAGGATGCGAGGAACTGTAAACCAACATCTGGATTGCCTATCTCTTGCCATTTGAATGGAAATGTCAACCATCAAGGTGTCATAAGTTTGTTTGTTTGTTTATTATTATTTTTGAACCCTATGAGTTCAGTAGCATACATAGCTGTTTATTTAAAAAGCTACAAGCAAAGCGGCAAGAGGAAGGGGGCAGCCACTGCAATAAAGCATTTGGAATACATTAGATATGTAGGTAGGCTGAAGGCAAGGAGACAGAAGACAAATGAGCAAAGGCATGCCAGCAAATGTTAAATCTCTAAAAGGATGACAAGAAAGGGGAAGGTAACTTTTCATGCCATTCGGAAATGCTTAAGAAGCTACTTAATCCATTTGTTAGAGAGTATGTTAATGAGAGAGGCATTCATAGCAACCCTGCATTATTTGGACAATGAAGGCTCTCCTTCTCTGCAGATTTTAAAAGAGGAAATGCAGAAACTCTAAAATGGGACTGTATCAGTGGTGGGTTGCCCCAGGTTCACACTGGTTCTATAGAACTGATAGTAAAACCGGCAGGAGGCTCCGCCCACCGACCCCGACATCATCAGAATGGTTCTGTGCATGTGCAGAAGAGCGCACGCACGGCCCCGTTGCGAACCGGTAGTAAAGGTAAGTAGAATTCACCCCTGGACTGTATATTAAAGGAAACCCGTATTCTCCCCCACCCCAGAAAATGAGTCCACAGTACTACATACATGCAATCTGTCATTAAATCGATGTACTGAACACAGACGAGCATGCACTATTTAAACATGCTTTTATTTAACCCAGTGTTTCTCAATCTTGCCAACTTTAAGATATGTGACTGCCACAGCATGCAGGTTGGAGAATTCTGAGAGTTTTTAAAGTTGCCAGTGCTGAGAAACATTGATTTAGTCTACACAAAAAGATGAGAGTGCAGAACACTTCAAGCCTTAACAGAAAAGAAGCCCAGCAGATTATTACCATTATTATTATTATTAGTTGATTAGAACCACCATATCTGGGTTGCAAATGGAAACAGAGTAGTAAGAATATTTTGCATCTTTTCATGGTCATCTTGGGAAAGCTACGTGAAACCACCCATCTCCAAACTGCTTGAGAAATGTATGGCTAACTGTTACAGTTTTTTTAAAAAGCTATGAACTGCAAGGAATATCAATTTAAAATAATGTCCGTAATGAGCAGTTGGGCCTATCATTATAACTATCATTATATATTTAGATGTGATTCTTTCACTTTTATGACTAGGACAGTTTTGTGGATTGTCCCTTTTTAACATCTTTTCATCTCCCATCCCCACCCTTCCATCTTCATGGGCGAGCCTTTCAGGTGATCAGCCCTTCTTAAAGACCTATTGATTAATAGATAAGTGACAAGGGGGCTCAGTACAGGTCTCAAAGCTTTGAGATACCTATTACATTTGCTCCGGCATTTTTGTTCTACAACATAGGAATTATGCTATTGATCCGAAAATAATGAAAGAGCAGTTTTCATATAAGATGGTTCACCTATAACTTTGAAAATATTAATCGCCCAGGTTCATTTCCAGATAAGATCAGTAAGTGTATTCATTCATAAAATTACTGTTTTTCATTTTCTACATTTTTACAAACTATGTAAAATACACATTATTTCAACACATTTTTTCCCTAAAAGTATTAATTTCCATACACATATACTTCTTATTCAGCTTTGCAGGTACATTATGTTAAGGGAACTATTTTAGGCTCATGTGACATACATAAAGAGGCAAGGCTTAGATTGTGTACCCAAACCATAATCCTGACTTTTTTTGACTTCTGCAAATGCCCTGCATATAACCTAATGTTGAATCAAGGATATATAGCAACATCCTGAGAAGCATAAAAACAACAACAACAACAACAACAACAACAACAACAAATGCATTCTGATTTGGACATTAATAAAATCCTGATCTGAAGCTGCAAATCAAATCCCCTGTAATTATATGAAGATCTGGCAATCAGGTATTCTGTAATTAATATTACAGTGACCTCATTAATATGGGGAAGTTGGTTGATGTTCCTCCATTTTAGTGCCCATCAGATGCATCTGCAATGGTGGGAGCCAAGTGAGGCAAAATGATGGACACAACCATCATTCAAATTCCACAGATAGGGGTGGGGCTTCAAACTACTGTTGTACCCTGCATTTTGGCTGCTTTGCCCCCCCCCTTGTGAATGCCCTTTCTCCCACTACTTTTCAATAAATCCTAGGAGAGAAGAGTAATTAGCACTGTTCAGAGACTACATGAGATTGGTGTCATCAGTTAGTTTACACCTTGAGCTGGCAATTCTCTGGTTTCACTAGCAGGCAATAATACAGTATAGCTTTCCCATTCTTGGCCCTCTATTATCACTGCCTATCCAGAGGGACTGTAGGACACGTGGTGAGTTTAATTATGGCAGAAGCTTGCACTTTCTCTATGTTCACTGATTATTTTGCACAGAGATCTAAAGGTCTGCATTGTTTCTGTATGCAATAGCAATAATCATACAACCCCCTCCCTCAAATCCTCTGAATAACAATGGCAGTTCAGAACTATCTTGCTTCTAACAGAGAAATAATATTAACAACAAATGAAAGCAGCTCTCTGCTAAAGATAGAAATGGATCCTCATTACATTATGTATTGATTGTTCCATAAATACTGCCGAGGTACTGATAAATCAACATGTAACCCACATCCATTGTTCACCGAGAAGAACAATTCAAACTAGTCGGTCAGTTACGACAACAGAGGAAACACTCAAGAAAATCCCAAATTGTAGAATACCATTTCTTCTGGACATTAAACAAGCCATCCATGTATTATTGTATCAGCAAACCAATCATTATGTCCACGATATAAATAATTAATTAAAATGCATCCATATTTAAAAGAGATGTTGCATTCATCTTCCCTCATTAGCTGTGGTCAGTTAGAAAATGATCAATAAAAACCAAAGTAAAATAATTCTGAAGAAGTGCTTTGGATCTCACACAAGCACAGCACCACTCTATTATTCATTGAACCATGTTTTTGGAGGGTTCACACGAGCCTGCAAATAGACGCAGTTGTTTTAAGAACCACACGGTTGATTAATATGCGCCCAGTCTGAAACTGTTCTTCCAAATGATTTTAAGGTACACACAGCCCTTCCTATTCAGCTCAGAAATCGCTATGAGTATAGCCTAAATACCATTTGAATCTGAACATGTAAATGATAAAAATTTCTGAACTATACATAAAATCTTGCTCCTTGTGTGCTACATGGAAACACCTTTGAATCAGAGGCTTTCAAGCAACCGTCCCAACTTCTGAAATCAAACTTAAGGATGCTAGAAGAATGAAACCAAACAGCTATTTTCTTCTGTATTATACATTTCTGGAATTCATTAAAGAATGAAATATTATCCTTTCAATTAGTTCTTTTTGAAACTCATAAACACACAGCAAAACAATCTGTATAAGTCAGACCATAATGGTGCTGTCAACCTTTTTGATATGACTTTAAGGGGGAAAAAGTCAACAGTTTTGTACATTAAGAAGAATGCATGACTCACTATCAAATCAATCATCCAGGAGTTCAGTTTCCCTTCATGAAAGATCCTGCTTTTAAGGTGTGCTTCTGATCAAGTTGCTTCCCACATGGAAATTGTGTACGAGAAAGCACAGTTTGTCAGTGATTGGTACACAGGAGTAGGCTGAAAATCTCGTCAATCTAAGGAGAGAAAGAAAAATATGAATTAAAAAACTGAGACGCAGACATATTTTTTAAAAAATTATTTATGTAATATCATCAATATTGGTCGTCACTTAATGGAGCCTTGCCACATGGTGATGATAATTCAAAATTTAATGAAACAGTAGAGTGATAGAGCACTGAAAAATGTGACTTATGATCTTTTTTCACAGTTACGACCTTTGCAGCCTTCTCATGATCACTGTTCAAAATTCAGATGCTTGGCAACTGGTTCATATTTATGACCATTATTGTATCCCAAGGTCATCTTTTGTGATCTTTGGACAAGCAAAATCAATGGGGAAGCCAGATTCACTTAACAACCCAGTTATTAACTTATCAACTGCAGTGGTTCATTTAACAACGGTGGCAATAAAGGTCGTAAAATGGAGCAAGATTCACTTAATAAATGTCTCACTTAACAACAGAAATTTGGGGCTCAATTGTGATCGTAAGTGGAGGACAACCTGTAACTATTATTCAAATTTTCAGAAAAGCATTTTCCCCTCATTTCCTGTAGGTGTTGAAGGACCTGGGAGCTATGGTGTTTCTAAAAGCATTCTTTAATAAGTGCAGTATGTAATTTGGGGGCTTATCATTAGTAAACTTTGATGGTGTAGTGGTTAGAATGCAGGCTAATTCTGCTGACTGCCAGGGATTCAATCCTGACCAGCTCAAGGTTGACTCAGCCTTCTATCCTTCCGAGGTCAGTAAAATGAGGACCCAGATTGTTGGAAGCAATATGTTGACATTTGTAAACCGCTTAAAGAGGCTGCAAAGCACTGTGAAGCGGTATATAATTCTAAGTGCTATTGCTATTGCTACACTCTTTCATACCACCCTTCCATCTATCTATTTTTGTCTCTTCCTTCTACTACATAATGTAGAGAGGCTTCTGTGCAGGGATGAGGAGAAATTTCAGATGCAAGGAAACTTCAGATGGAAAGAAATATATTTCCAGTTTTAAATAAAGGCGCTAGCCAGAAAGTCCGTCAACAGCACAGAGAGTCATGGTACAATAATTGGGGTGGGAATGAATGCTATTAGAGGTATCAGATCCCACCACTCACGATATGGAGGAAGAGATGCTTTTCCATGCATTTAAAGGCCAGTTTATATACTAATAAGATTAGAAATGGCAAACTGCCTCTAAAGAAAACCAAAATGGAAACAACATGCCGGAATTAATTTACCCTGACCCAAGGAGATAAAAAAATGTCACAAAGACAGAAATACAACTATAGATCTTTGTACTGCACAATTCTTGGTTATATTTTTGGATAGGTTTCACAATTTCACAGTTAAATCACAGGAGCATCTTCGAATTATTAGCCTCTTTGTGTTAACATTTTAGCCAGATTGGAAAAATAGATTGGATATATTGGGGCAGTTTTTAAGTGCCATGCTGCGCAAATGACACATTTGCAGAATAACCACATGTTTTTTTTAATCATCCATCCCACTCTCAGAAGATACCCCATCTGGCCATTCAATCTGACTTTAACACTGATGATCTGAAAGTACTCTTCATATTACTTGAGAAGCAGACTAGTTAGAAAACAGAGCAAACTGACTACAGTAGAATATTTTCATTCCGTTTCCAACTTGAAACAAAGATACATCAAGAAAGAGAGATGTGCTAAACTTCCCATATCTGTTGCTTCTTGTTTTATTAGTCTAGAACCAGAGGTGGGTTTCAGCAGGTTCTGACCAGTTCTGGAGAACCGGTAACAGAAATTTTGAGTAGTTCAGAGAACTGATAAATACCACTTCTGACCGGCCCCGCCCCCATCTATTCTCTGCCTCCCAAGTTCCAGTTGATTGGGAGGAAATGGGGATTTTGCAGTAACCTTCCCCTGGAATGGGAAAGGAAGGGAAATTTTACAGTATCCTTCCCTGCCACACCCACCAAGCCATGCCACACCCACCAAGCCATGCCATGCCCACCGGGCCACACCCCAGAACTGGTAGTAAAAAAATTTGAAACCCGCCACTGTCTAGAACTCAAAAGGAACTACAGCTCCTTAGAAAAAGGAACTGTGCCTAGAAAAGTATTAGATACATCAGATCTTGTATGCTGTTTATCCAGTCACTGTAATAACAGCAATTGAAATTAGCATGGAGAGTTTTTTGTCATCTAACTGCAGAACAGTTTGGGAGGTGGAGCCTGTCCTATGTAAATGTCAAAATCTATCTATTTCCAGAGGAAGAAATTAAGGACTGAAGATAACTCTGTGAAAAGCAGAGCCAACAACTGCATCAGAATGAAGAGCTGAGTGGACTGGCTTTTCAAAACACCTCTGGATTTTAAAGGAGAAGACTTGAATCACTTATAAGTGCTTCAGAGAGCTTCTCCTCACAAGGAGACCTCAAGAGAGCAGCCTCTGATAGGTTTACAGCAGGGGTCTGCAACCTTAAACACTCAAAGAGCCATTTGGACCTGTTTCCCACAGGAAAAAAAAAAACACTGGGAGCCACAAAACCTGGGTGGGCGTGGCCAATTCCACATCACTCACTCCCACCCAGTAACATGACCCCCTAGCCATGCCTACCCAGCAGGTCATTAGGGCAGAGAACCATTTGTTAAAAAACACCACACCGGGAACCACAAAACCCCCTTCTCTCCCCTCTCTCTGTATCTTCCCATCTCTCTCACCCTCTGTCTCTCTCTATCTCTCTATGTCTCTCTCCTCCTATCTCCCCCCTCCTTCTCCCCCTCTCTCTGTATCTCTTGCCCTCTCTCCCTCTCCCCCTCTCTGTATCTCTCTCTGTGTGTATCTCTCTCTCCCCTTCCTATCTTCCCCCTCTCTCCCCCCCTCTCTCTGTGTTTATCTCTCTCTCTCTCTCTATGTCTCTCTCTCCCCCCACTCTCTGTATCTCTCTCTCTGTATCCCTCTCCCCCTGTCTCCCCCTCTTTCTGTGTCTCTTCTCACTCTTTCGAAAAGCCCAGTGAGCTCTCCTTGGGACTCTTTGCTATTCCTTTTCTTTCTTCTTTTTGGAAATCCAGGCTGGCTGAGGAACGAGTGCAAGCCACAGCAGAGGCTTTCCTCTTCCTCTTCTCCCCCTTCTTCTCTCATGCGCACCCTCCCAGTCCTGCCACAGCTGGCCAGGAGGAGGGGGAAGAGGAGGAGGAGGGAAGCCTCCACTGCAGCTTGCGCGCATTCCTCAGCCAGCCTGGATTTCCAAAAAGAAGAAAGAAAAGGAATAGCAAAGAGCCCCAAGGAGAATTTGCCAGCTTTCCAAGAGAGAGAGAGGGGGGGGAGACAGGGAGAGACATACATGCACACACACACACACACACACACACACACACACACACACACACACAGAGAGAGAGAGGAAGACTGGCTGACGGGTGAGCGTCTTTGGAAAGGGCCCTCCAGCTTTCTCCAAATGTGACCGAGCCGGGATGGGCGTGTGAGGTTCGGCAGGCCAAGCCCCCTTTTTCCGCTGCCCTGAAAACCACATCTGGGTGCTGTGGGCCGATCCCACTTTTCATTGTCCCCTCTTCCTGGATCCCATTCCCACCATGCCAGCCCTCATGTTAGCGAGGCCAGCATCTGGGTCGGGCCAGTGTCTCGGGGCGGAGAGTAGGTTGCATGTTTCCCTAAGCGACAGAAGCACACCCAGCACCAACATGGCCAGAAGAAGCTCCAGCAAGAGTGAGGTACCAGAGAATCCACCCCAGCTGCTTCTCTATCCCCCGCCATCACCCTTTCCTTCTCAGGCCAGGCAAGAAATGACTGGTAGGGAGGGCGAGGGGCGGGGCCAGCCAGTGATGGGACAGGGAACCACAAAAGAGCCATGGGTTGCCGACACCCGTTTTAGAGGGAATAATCAACTTGCTGAAACTATGGTTGGCCCCTTTGAAAGGACAAAAAAGTTTGCATGCTTCCTTTTCTAATCACTTTGGAAACTTGCTTGTTAATTACTACTAGGAACATTTGAATTTACTGGTTTGACAGCACTGGGCAAGATTCCTTCGATCCTTAGCAAAAGAAAGTTTTAACTCCAAGCTTCAGAACTTAATCTTTTTAAATAAATAACAAACAAGTGATTAAAATTTTGATTTAACAATGTTACAAACGGGTTAAGGGCTCAGATAATATGAAATAAATTTTTGGAATTATAAGGAATTCTTTCTATGGGAAAATACTTTTGTTTCAAATGTTTTTTTTAAAAAGAATTTAAGATTTTAAAAATGAAATGGACATTAGAGCAGTGGTGAAAGGCAATTTTTTTTGCTACTGGTTCGGTGGGTGTGCCTTGGTGGGGGGGGGTGTCATGTGACTGGGTGGGCATGGCCAACTTTTTTTTTTACTTTTTAAAGCATTTTTACTACCTATTCGTCCAAACCGGTGGTAAAAAAATGCTTTAAAAACGTAAAAAAAAGGTTCCGACGATCACACAGCACAACCTTTTTTTTACTTTTTAAAGGATTGTTTTACTACCGGTTCACCTGAACCGGTAGTTTTTATCACTACCGGTTCTCCCGAACCGGAGCGAACCAGTAACATTTGACCCCTGCATTAGAGAGAACTAAAGATTACAATTAAACTTATAAAATTAATTATAACAATTAAAGAACACATATACATGACTGAAATGAAGCAAATATTCTAACTCTGGACATGTTGAAATATATTTTTGACAAAAAGGACAAAGAAGTTAATCTTAATAGTGCCAACAGAGAACATTTACCTTATGGACCTTATGGACAGACTTTGTCTAAAAGATATTACAGAAGAGGAACAAGATTTACCTGACAAGATTGAAAGTGGATTAACAAATGACAACCCAAAATAATGATATAAAAAAGAAGTTACATTGGACATTCAAAATCATTGTTGTTTTAATCATTAAAAAGGATATACAAACAATAAGCCAAGAGAGTAACCTGGACCTTTTCCTATGTTGGATTTACAAAAGAGGCTTTTTAACATTTTGAAGAATCTTGTGTGGAGGGACAAAGAAAAAAA